GTGGGAGATGAAAAATATGTTCTTGGAGTAAGCGACCTCTATTCCAAGAAAATATTTGAGTTTTCCTAGGTCTTTCATTTTTGAATTGGGTTGCCAATTTTTCTTTTAACACCAATTCTTTTGTTTCATCATCTCTTGGAATAATCATATCAATCCACATAGACACGCAATAGGGTGAGTTCACCTATAGAAGATAGTGCTTTATGAATAGAGTATGATCTCCTTGACTTTCTCTATATCCCAAGGAAAATATTGCTTTTTTAAATCTTCCAAACCATGCTAGGCGATTACTTAAGACAATACAATGCTTTCTTTAGGAGGCATACCTTGTTTTCTTTCATTTCACTTCAAAACCGGGGAATCTGCATGTACACATCCTCTTCTAGATTTCCATGAAGAAAGACATTTTTCACACCCAACTGGTGTAAGTCCCAACCAAAATGAGCAGTCAAAGCGAGAACAACTTGAACTTTATTCATCTTTGCCATTGGGGCAAACGTCTCCTCATAGTCAATCCCATAAGTTTACACCAATCTAGCTTTATATCTTTCTATTGTCCCATCTGCCTTATGTTTCACTGTGAATATCCATCTACACCCTACTGTCTTCTTGTCTCTAAGCTTATCAACAATCTCCTAAGTTGAATTTCTTTCTAATGCATTCATCTCTTCTTTCATGGCTTGATTCCAATGTTCAATTTTCATGGCCTTTTGGATTGAGGTAAGAATTTTTGTCACATCAAGGGGAACAATAAAACTTCTGTGCTTATCAGAGAGATTGTTAATGCAAGCATACTGAGAAATAAAATATTTAGCACATGATCTTCTTTCCTTTCTCAATGCAATGGGTAAATCCTCAGTAATGCTTACCTCCTCACTGTTATCTTCAAGGGATTCTCTCTCATCCTCACCTCCGGATTAGATAATTTTGCAAGAAATGTCTTCTTCTTCTCTTTCTTTTCTCCCTCACTATGGCTATGGTAGCTTTTCATTGCTAGATATTGGGGCATTCTGCAAAGACAATATGTAATGACAAAATGAGAGCTCCTCCACTCAAGTGCTGTCTTTCCTCCTCCTAAAGTGGTGGAACTGGCATAAAAGGATTATGCTTCATGAAAAGGGTACGCCATAGTATAAAAACTCTATGACTCTTATGATGATAACATTTGTATCCTTTTTATTAGAAGGATCCCGAATAAAGAACCGTTACTAGCGCTGAATCTAATTTACTACGATGGGATGATAGAGTGAACAAAAACGTACATCCAAAGCTTGACGAGGTAGACTCGATATTAGGGAGGAAGAAGGAACAAAAGACAATGCGGAGACTCTATAGGATAATGTCATTTACGATACAGGTGGGTAACCTGCTGATGAGATATGTGACAGTTAACACAACTTCTCCCCAATAATTTTTTGGAATAGACTTTTAAAAAGAAGAGCTCTAGTTACGTCAAGAAGATGACAATTCTTTCTTTCTGCAACCCCATTTTGTTGAGGGGTGTTTACACATGTTAGTTCATGAACAATACCATTATGAGACAAAAAATTGAGAATTCATGATTCACATGAACAATACCCCCTTATCAAACCTATTCTTTGAATATTTTTTCCAAATTGATTTTGGATAAGATAGAAAAAGTTAACAAAGATTTGGAAAACTTCTAATTTATTTTTCTTAAGGTATTGTCCACATGACATGAGTACAATCGTCAATAAAGGTAACGAACCATTTGGCTTCGAAATAGATTCCTAGATAGGTCTACAAACGTCAGAGTGAGTTAAATCAAATGGAGAAGTCCACTTTTTATGACTAATAGGATATGATGTACAATGTGTTTTGACAACTGACAAATATAACAATTGAAAGACTCAACAGACTCCTTGGTAAACAAATGGGGAAATAAGGACTTGATAAGGTTGAATGAAGGATGCCCAAGCCTTTTATGATGTAGCCATATTTGGGAATTTGCCCACGTCTCAGATGTATGCTTGTTGACTCATGATTTTTGTTTTGCTTTGGTCATCAGACTCCAACAGATACAACCCACTCTGCTCCTTAGCAGTTAATATTGTCTTCCCTGTGGCAAGATCCTAAAAAACACAATAAGTTGAGAAAAATGTTACTGAACAATTTAAATCATTTGAGTTTTTGCACAAAAATAAGACTATTGGTTAATTGTGGAACAAGTAAAAATTATATTCACAGAGTCACATATTGGTATACCCTGACCATTCGTAACTGGAATAAGTTGTTCTCTATTTCTTTTACCATGAGTTGAAAGACACACAAAAAGGTGTCATATGATCAGTTGTTCTTGAATCAAGAATCCAAATAACTTGAGACACATGAGTAATCGTATTGAGATAAATCTTATGTTTCATGGACAAAATACATGATTAAGAGGGCTTACTTATTAATTCAAACATTGCTTTCAAGCGCTCGAGTTCCTCCTTATAAGGCCTTCATGTCAAGATCAAAGGAAATACTTTTTTCCTCAACATCCATTGGGAACACAATCAGGTGTCTATGGTGACCCTATCCGAGACGACACGATTGTGTGGACTACCTGGGAAAAAGTAGCAGTACTCAAAACTCGTGGATCGGACTCGGGCAACCCTTTCTATGATGGCGGCGACGAGTGGGTCTAGCAGGAACTAGGCGCGTGGGCTACACGCGCAAGCGATGGTGGTGGTGCGTGGCTGTGTCTTTCCCAAAGCGATTTCCGGCAATGTGTTCTCCGTAGTCAGGTGCACCTTGTTGCCCTATCAATGACCCCAACAATCTGATCTTCCAAAAAAGGGTAATAAGGAAACAATATACTGAAAAAAAAAAACTAAAAGATTCTACAAATATTTTTTCTAATTTAGGAAGATTCTAAAGATATTTTCTCTAAATAGGAAGATTTTCTTCTAATTACAACATAAGATGAGTTTTATTTCGTTATCTCGTTACAACATTTATAGGAAGAATTATTTCCTTGAATTTTAGGGATAGATTAGTGTACAAGTTTATTCCCTTGCTTTATTCTATTTATTCCCTTTTGGTATTTTTCCAAAATTCAAAATTTTGTTGGAGATCCCACGTTGACTAGAAATGAGGCAAGTTTATATATATAAGCGGTGCCACCTCACTTTTCAAGCCAGTTTTTGCAGGGTTGAGTTAGACTTAACGTCCATTTCTTAACATATATCAGAGGCCATGGGTTAGAGTATATCCTAACGAAGTTTGTTATCTGTTGGGTCTATTGTTCCACTTGCTATCGGGCTCCTATCGGACCACTCATTAATGACTAGTCTCAGGCTCGAGATGTATATACCGCAGTGTGAAGAGGGTGGGTTGGAAGTCTCACATCAACTAGAGAAGGTCAATTTTATAATATATAAGTGGGTGCAAACCTCACTTTACAAACTGGTTTTGTGGGGTAAAGTTAGACTTAAAGTTCACTTCTTAATTTGTCAAGCCACTATCAAACCACCAATTAACGTTCAATCTCACACCTTACAAGCCGGTATTGTAATATTGTGTTAGGCTTAAAGTCCATTTTTTAAGGTGGTATCAAAGTCATGGATCAGAGCCTATTTGAGATTTACTATTTCTTCGACCTATTGTGCCACCTACTATCACCAAATATCACCAAATATCACCTACTATGAGGAGATTTCTTGTTTGTTTGGCTTATTGTGTCACGTGCTATCAGGCTGTTGTTGGACCACCCAATAATGTCTAGTCCCATGCTTGAGATGTATATACCTCGGCTTGAGGAATGTGGGTTGGAGATCCTATATCAACTAGAGATAACCCAAGTTTATAGTATATAAGTGGGTATAAACCTCACCTTATAAGCCGGTTTTGTAAGGTTGAGTTAAAACTCACTTTATAATATATATCATATTTTACGCACTTTGTGTATTTTCTTTCTTTTTATGATATTGAGGTGTGTTGTATGATTGATGTTCTTTGTGAGAGTTGGGATAGCAAACAACATAGTGATGTGTTAACATTCTCATTTCTATTTCAAAAGCACAATCTAAACTAATAGTTATGACTAAATAGTAGCTTATGTATTTTATTGAGAAATATCCTTTTATGTCAATTGACCTTCGAAGTTTTCTATGTTTTAGAAAAGATTTTTTTTTTCAATTTTTTTCTTATGATGTTTATTTAAATAACCGTTTTCTGATACAGATGATGTTGGATGAGTTAGAAGATGGAGGAAAAGTTTATCTTGTCTACCCGATTATTGAACTTTCTGAGCAGTTGCCTCAGCTTCGTGCTGCCTCTGCAGATTTTGGAGTTATATCGCACCGATTTCAAGGATATAATTGTGGCTTACTACATGGAAAAATGAGAAGTGAAGAAAAAGAAGAAACATTAAGAAAGTTTAGAAGTGGAGAAATACATATACTACTTGCAACTCAAGTAATTGAGATTGGTGTTGATGTTCCTGATGCATCTATGATGGTTGTGTTGAACTCTGAGAGGTTTGGAATTGCACAACTACACCAACTTAGAGGACGAGTAGGACGTGGTACAAAGCAATCAAAATGTATACTAGTAACATCAACTGTCAGTAGCCTAAATCGTTTGAAGGTACTAGAACAATCATCAGATGGGTTTTATCTTGCTAATATGGACCTTCTCTTACGGGGACCTGGTGACTTGCTTGGAAAGAAACAATCTGGACATCTTCCTGAGTTTCCTATTGCCAGATTGGAAGTTGATGGGAATATTTTACAAGACGCGCATGTTGCTGCACTGGTAATTGTTGAATAACACATTCTTAATTGTTTGTGGTGATTTATTACTTTAAATTGCCATGGTTGTCTATATAGTAAATTAGTAATTGCCCGAAGAGCATGTCTCAATCAACTTAATTTTAATAAATGGTCATTTATTGCTGATCTAAAAGATTCTTATTGAAAATCTTTCATTGAGTTTAACTACCACTTGAATTTTGGTCAAGTAATTCCCTATTTGATTCTTGATAAGTCATGGACATCAACTCATTTAGTTTAGCATAGGGATTAAAACTACATTTTCTTTGATTAGTTAGCACCTCTTTGTGATTTTTTTTTTAGAATATCCTAGTCTTCTTTAATTGAATTGGCTTAAGATATCTTCAATTGGCAGACAATAACAAATAGAAAGTGCAGAAAAACATCAGAGATATAGGTAAAAGAGAGCAAAATACTCCACCAAAGTCAAAGCATAGTAATTTGGACTTTTCTATTTCCAGATTCTTATAATGCCTATTAGAGAGATGTAAATATTCGGTTATTCAACTGGATGCTCTTTTCTTTCTTAGTCTGTTATGCAAACAATAGGCTTTAATGCCTATATATACAAAGTTTGTACTCTCAGTTGTTAGTGTGGAATACGATACAATATCAATTTCATGTTTACATTCTTCTCTCATTCTTTTCTATTATGGTATCAGGAGCCTCAAATTGATCCGCAATGGTCAATCCAAGCTCCCATCCATCTGCTTCCTAGTTTTTCCCAATTTTTGTATTTGAAAAATTGGATGATTCCAGTTATCTTTATGGGAAACAAGTTGAGCCTCTGTTATTAAGTCTCATTGTCTTCATCGCTTTGTTGTTAACCCAATTATTCCTCCAAGATTTCTTACTATTGATGATTGTGCTGCTGAAGTTGTCAATCCCGCATATGAAGAATGGGAAGTTCAAGACAAGGTCTTGCTTTCTTTGTACAATCGACCCTCTCCAAGTCAATTCTGTCATGCATTTTTGTTGCTGTTGATTCGTATCAGGTATGGGAATAGATACATGACCACTTCTCAACTAAGACCAAGGCTTGTGCGAGGCAGCGTCAACTGATCTTTGACCAACTTCTCTTGAAAACAAGACCATGCGAAAGTTCTTGGGACACATCAAGTCCATTGCTTATGAACTTGCTAGCATTGGACGTTCTGTTAAACCAGAAGAATACACTGATGCAATTTTTGCAGGGCTTTCTCTAGAATATGCCCCAACCATCAAAAGTAAATTTGAAATGCCTCAGATTACAGTAGAGGCTCTTCTCCTTGCCCATGAGTCCAGCAACAATCGCTTTCTTCGCTCAACTATTCTGAATCTTATATTATCAACTGTCTTCAAAAGTTCAAGAACACTCGAAGAACTTCAACCATTTCTGTTCTTCTGATTGACTGGTTTATGGACATAGTGACACAGTCGTGGTGGCAGATTTGCAAACTTCCAATGCCAAATCCTTCTCAAATATGGTCATACCGCAGACATTTGGTTATACCGCGCAGATACTTCTTACCTACCAAATGAGTCTCTTGTTTATGATCTGTATTTTCTAGTATTATTCTTTCTTATTAATGCATTATTCTTTATTATAGAAATAATACCCTATAGTTGCTTGTCCCGGTCAGTTTTTCACATGGAATCAGCGGAACAGTGATAAAAGTCACTGAAGAGGGGGTACATGAGTGTGAGCTTTCGGAAGCTCTGGGAAATGAACATGAAATGGGGTTAAAAAGGGGGGCGCCTGGGTGTGAGGAAGGAGGTAGAGGGCGGCAAGTGGGTCGTCCTGGAAACGAGAGAAAAAGACATAATCTAAGACGGGTGCGTGAAAAGCACGTGTTGGAAAGAGGCAGCGCGTGTGGGCGTATGTGGCAGCGGGTCAGTGTAATTGATGGAACTGCCTTTATATATATTTCGTTCCATCACCTCCTTTTCCTATCATCTATCATCCCTTTTCCTGGCCTTCTTCATGTTTCCCTTTTCCTATCATCTATCATCCCTTTTCATGGTCTCCTTCATGTTTTTCTTGTCTTTTTCATGTATTGTTTGGTTTGATTTCTTGTAGGTTTCAATTACATCAAAGCACTTCAGAATATCAAATAAACATATGCAATTAAGAAGCTATCTTGAACATGTTTTTTATCTCAAGCTCATTTGGTTATCTTAGAATAAATACTAATTAAAATAACATTTTAAGCACAAAAACTAATTAAAAAACCAATATTAAAGATGTGTGTGGAGTCTATAAACTTATGATGGTTTTATGGTATTTGTTTTTGAGATTTTACAATTGATGTCGACGTGGGTTCTAGTTCATTCCAATTACCCCAGTCCCACTGACATTATAAGCTATGAAGCTCAGACATTTCTCATGTATCCGACACATTTCTCATAAATAGCGTGTCCCGTGTCTGACATGTATACTTGTATGGCACACATATCTGTAAAGTGTCTAATTTGAAAGACTTTTTTGTCTTTGATATGATTTTCACATGATTCCAATACAATGTTAATAACCATAGATTCAATGATTTTTTAAAAAATCCTTAAATTTGTAAACTTATTACATAAGTTTCTTTTATGATTATGAAAAGAAGGATCAAATCTTATATCATCACTACTTTTAACCTTTTGGATATTAGATAAATAGATTAGATTTATTTTTATGTTAGTTGACAGTTTGAAACTAATATGTATATACATGTTGTGTCCGTGTTACATCTTTTCAATTTAGTCTTATCCGTATTTAGGCTTCATAGATTATAAGGTTTTACCAGTTGAACTACTTTATGCTAGATTTCATTATATCTAGTGATAGTGATATGCTTTTCTTTAACTAAATGAAAAAATAATTTCCATTTGTCCAAAACTTACTGATTGCAGAAAATTTTAAGCGCGTCTCATGATTTGGAGCAATTTCCTTCGCTTAAACTGGAGCTTAGCATGAGACAGCCACTTTGCCTACTAGGTGATTGAATTTTGATCTGGTATGCTATTCAGAAGTTACTCCGCTCGTTATATTATTTTGGTAATGTAATTTATGTCATAGGCTCTTATTGGTCGTGTAAACATGATTTAGCTATGTGCATTTTGTCCTACATCACAAAATGAATCAAATGAAACCTTCAGAAGCAGCAACCTTTAGCTTTTAGGTTTATGCTCACCTCACATCTTGAAAATCCTGCTATTGTCTACATACCCTATTCTGGCCTGGTCAAGTGGCCATAATATGCCTCAATGTAGCAATCTTTGTAATATTAAGATGAATCATAGCAACAACTCACGGAAGAAAAAAATGAATTAAAAGAAGCCTTAGAAAGCTCCCTCATTTCTTTGTACTTGTTTATATCTGTCGTTTCATTTCTTGTTTTTCAACATTTTGCAATTGCAATCTTATCGAGATCCATGCAACCAAGTGCATATTAACATTTCTTATATCTGACTGCGCTGGGGTATTTCTTTTATCACCATGGGACCTTCTTCCTACACTTCCATAAGGAAAAGTTCAAATTATCCATGGGTTAGAAACGTTTTAGATTGCATAATATAGAACACAAAAATGTGTAAATGTATAGCATATTGGATAATCTGAAATATATTTTTTGATCCAAAAATATATTTTGGATTATACAATTTGAAACAATTTCTAGATTATACGATTGTGTAATCTAAAATTCATTATGGATTGTTATTTTAGACATTTCCAACCTTCCATGGAGGTACAAAAAGGAAAACGTGAGGTAGAAAGATTATTCACCACTGCTGATGAAACAGTTACCTTTATTACCTCTTTAAAAACCATTTTGCATGCAGAAGTTTGTCTTCTTACAACGCCAAGGAAATTGCAAGGTTAAGGAATGTTAGTTATATTTGCACTTTTCTCTAACTATAGTTGTGCAGGGATGGCAATGGACGATCATGAGTTTTATTATTTAATCACATTTTCAAAATAAATATTCATACCCATCTTTATCTTCATATTTATTACGTATGAAACTTTTGTTTTATCCTCGTCTTCATTGGATAATACATATAAATGTGTTTAATGTCAATATTTTCCTACTATTTCAATATAAAAAATCATATTTGATGTAATATTTAGAATTAAATTATATTTGCATAAATAATAATTGAAAAAAAATGAAAACATTATATAAAATATTATGTATTACACTTAACTAAAATTTGATAACAACCAATACATCTCTTAATTTTGAAAATGTTAATGAAATAAAGTTTATAAAGGTAAAAAATATTAAATACTTGAATTTAAGAGAATTATAGTGTGAAAAAATAATAGTAAATAAAAAACTAAAAAGTAGTAAAAATTATTAAATGTAAGACTTAAAATTTATTTGGATATAACTACACAAGTAAAAAAACATATAATCAAGATCGTTAAAAGTTAAAGTATCTTGAAAATGTCTAAAATATTTTGGATATAAAATAAGTCAAATAGATAACATATATATATATATATATATATATATATATATATATATATATATATATATATAAAAAATANCCAGATTCTTATAATGCCTATTAGAGAGATGTAAATATTCGGTTATTCAACTGGATGCTCTTTTCTTTCTTAGTCTGTTATGCAAACAATAGGCTTTAATGCCTATATATACAAAGTTTGTACTCTCAGTTGTTAGTGTGGAATACGATACAATATCAATTTCATGTTTACATTCTTCTCTCATTCTTTTCTATTATGGTATCAGGAGCCTCAAATTGATCCGCAATGGTCAATCCAAGCTCCCATCCATCTGCTTCCTAGTTTTTCCCAATTTTTGTATTTGAAAAATTGGATGATTCCAGTTATCTTTATGGGAAACAAGTTGAGCCTCTGTTATTAAGTCTCATTGTCTTCATCGCTTTGTTGTTAACCCAATTATTCCTCCAAGATTTCTTACTATTGATGATTGTGCTGCTGAAGTTGTCAATCCCGCATATGAAGAATGGGAAGTTCAAGACAAGGTCTTGCTTTCTTTGTACAATCGACCCTCTCCAAGTCAATTCTGTCATGCATTTTTGTTGCTGTTGATTCGTATCAGGTATGGGAATAGATACATGACCACTTCTCAACTAAGACCAAGGCTTGTGCGAGGCAGCGTCAACTGATCTTTGACCAACTTCTCTTGAAAACAAGACCATGCGAAAGTTCTTGGGACACATCAAGTCCATTGCTTATGAACTTGCTAGCATTGGACGTTCTGTTAAACCAGAAGAATACACTGATGCAATTTTTGCAGGGCTTTCTCTAGAATATGCCCCAACCATCAAAAGTAAATTTGAAATGCCTCAGATTACAGTAGAGGCTCTTCTCCTTGCCCATGAGTCCAGCAACAATCGCTTTCTTCGCTCAACTATTCTGAATCTTATATTATCAACTGTCTTCAAAAGTTCAAGAACACTCGAAGAACTTCAACCATTTCTGTTCTTCTGATTGACTGGTTTATGGACATAGTGACACAGTCGTGGTGGCAGATTTGCAAACTTCCAATGCCAAATCCTTCTCAAATATGGTCATACCGCAGACATTTGGTTATACCGCGCAGATACTTCTTACCTACCAAATGAGTCTCTTGTTTATGATCTGTATTTTCTAGTATTATTCTTTCTTATTAATGCATTATTCTTTATTATAGAAATAATACCCTATAGTTGCTTGTCCCGGTCAGTTTTTCACATGGAATCAGCGGAACAGTGATAAAAGTCACTGAAGAGGGGGTACATGAGTGTGAGCTTTCGGAAGCTCTGGGAAATGAACATGAAATAGGGTTAAAAAGGGGGGCGCCTGGGTGTGAGGAAGGAGGTAGAGGGCGGCAAGTGGGTCGTCCTGGAAACGAGAGAAAAAGACATAATCTAAGACGGATGCGTGAAAAGCACGTGTTGGAAAGAGGCAGCGCGTGTGGGCGAATGTGGCAGCGGGTCAGTGTAATTGATGGAACTGCCTTTATATATATTTCGTTCCATCACCTCCTTTTCCTATCATCTATCATCCCTTTTCCTGGCCTTCTTCATGTTTCCCTTTTCCTATCATCTATCATCCCTTTTCATGGTCTCCTTCATGTTTTTCTTGTCTTTTTCATGTAATGTTTGGTTTGATTTCTTGTAAGTTTCAATTACATCAAAACACTTCAGAATATCAAATAAACATATGCAATTAAGAAGCTATCTTGAACATGTTTTTTATCTCAAGCTCATTTAGTTATCTTAGAATAAATACTAATTAAAATAACATTTTAAGCACAAAAACTAATTAAAAAACCAATATTAAAGATGTGTGTGGAGTCTATAAACTTATGATGGTTTTATGGTATTTGTTTTTGAGATTTTACAATTGATGTCGACGTGGGTTCTAGTTCATTCCAATTACCCCAGTCCCACTGACATTATAAGCTATGAAGCTCAGACATTTCTCATGTATCCGACACATTTCTCATAAATAGCGTGTCCCGTGTCTGACATGTATACTTGTATGGCACACATATCTGTAAAGTGTCTAATTTGAAAGACTTTTTTGTCTTTAATATGATTTTCACATGATTCCAATACAATGTTAATAACCATAGATTCAATGATTTTTTAAAAAATCCTTAAATTTGTAAACTTATTACATAAGTTTCTTTTATGATTATAAAAAGAAGGATCAAATCTTATATCATCACTACTTTTAACCTTTTGGATATTAGATAAATAGATTAGATTTATTTTTATGTTAGTTGACAGTTTGAAACTAATATGTATATACATGTTGTGTCCGTGTTACATCTTTTCAATTTAGTCTTATCCGTATTTAG